GCCCCCAACCAGAAGGGGACTGACCCAGACTGACTCCCTAGGAGATCTTATCCTCTTGGTTTCAAAGGCTGGAGCTGTAGGGTGTGCAGAGAGTCAGGTAGAATGTTGACTGAGAGCAGACTCCACTGCAGGGGCCTTCTGTAGCAATTCACAGAAGGCTTGCAGCTGACATTGTCCACATGGAGCAGATGCTAGCACACTCCAGACAGACCCCTGGAGATGTCGGCCTTATAAACTTTAGAGCAGAAGATTTGGGGCTTGTCTCTTTGTATAGGCAAGAGGTATGGTAGTGGTTGTTAGGTGCCTTTGAGTCATTTTTGACTCATAGCAACTCTGTGTATAACAGAACAAAACACTGCTCAGTCCTTCACCATTCTCACAGTCATTGCCATGCTTGAGTCCATTGTTGGAGCCACTGTGTCAGTCCATCTCGTTAAGGGTCTTCCCCTTTTTCACTGACCTTCTGTTCTACCAAGCATGATATATTTCTCCAGGGATTTGTCCTCCCTGATAACATGAGCAGAGTACAAGAGAAAAAATCTGGCCATTCTCACTACTAAGGAACATTCTGGCTGTACTTTTTCCCCAGACAGATTTGTTCATTCTTCTGGCAGTCCACAGTATAATCAGTATTCTTCACCAACAGGACAATTTAAATGCATTAATTCTTCTGTAATTCGAATGCATTGATTCTTCTGTATCCTTCCTTACTCATTGCACCCTGTCATATGCATATGAGATTGTTGGAAAGACAGTCACTAGGGTCAGGCTCACCTTAGTCGTCAGAGTCACATCTTTGCTCTTTAACACTTCAGAAAGGTCTTTTACTGTAGATTTTCCCAGTGGAATATGTTGTTTCATTTCTTTCTTTCTTTCTTTTTAATGCATTTTATTGAAATACAATTTATGTACACACTGATACACACAAAACTAAAGTGACATGGGTCAGTGCTTTTTTTTTTTCCCCCAGTGTTCCCCTACCTTCCCACCCTTGGTAACCAACAAAGTTTCCTTCCATAAATAAACATTTCCTTGACCTTTTACAATAATGAACTAATACTATATTTGTTCTACTGTGATCGACATACTTCACTCAGCATAATGTCCTTCATGTTCATCCATGCTATGTGGTGTTTTGCAGATTCTACATTATTGTTTAGCATTGCATAGTATTCCATTGTATGTATTGCATAGTATTCCATTGTATGTATGCACCATAGTTTGGTTATCCATTCTTCTGTTGATGGACATGTAGGTTGTTTCTATCTTTTGGCTATTGTAAATAGTGCTG